AAAAAAAAAAAAAACACGAGAAGGAGATTTCAAAATAATGAATGTAACAACTCAATTAGAATAAATGAAAACTAAGGATTAATGACTCATGCATGAAATATGCTTCATAGTCAATATAGCCAAGCATGACAATTAATCAAGGAAGGAGATTTTTGTTTTAAATGAGAAATCAAATAATAATAGGATTGGAGTTTGTATATATATATAGGCTTCAATTGTGGGAATAATCAAAATTATTAGGGACCAAAACATCAAATCAACTATTAGTTTCATCACAGAGATGTTATTAACACATGTGTTCACGATAAAAGAAAAATTGAATCATCAAAAAGTTGGAGAGTGAAGTGCAATTAGACGTATTATTTAGGAGTATTCGCAAAAACTATATTCAATTCGAATAATTCAGGGTACGTGTATACTTTTGATGTTATATAAATTAAATAGATATACATATAATATACGTGTAGATTTAGGGTGAGCGGTCAGAGAAAGGTGTTACAGGTTCCAAAAATGAAAATTGGTAGAACATGAAAATATGAAAGGCTAGCTTTTGTACAGCTTTGGGTGTGTTGTTTTTATCCATAGTTCAAAGTAGATTTGGGCCCCACTCACCCATACAGGCCTCAGACACTGTCTCAATGTTTGACACTACCCATCAATTTCAATTTTTTTTTTTTTACCAAATTAAAATACAGTATAATAATAATAATAATATAATATAAAAAATGTAATATAATTAATAATATAATATAATTAATTTATGTTTCCACAGCAATACATACAAAAAAATCCTTGTGTAGCCTAGAGAATCTATCACTCTGCATCGATCTATCATCATTTCTTGAAAATTGTTGAGTTTCATTATTTTATCTCTATTTTTTAATATTTAAGAAAATAGGGAAATAATACCCAATAGTTTAGTGATAAATAGTAAATAAAAGGTATTAGGGAAATAATGGTTAGATAAAGATAGACACACATTTGGGAGCATTCAAATCTTTAAAATATGATATTTCTCTTCAAAAATAAAATAAAATATTCAACTGATTTTAATCGGTTATTAATTTCAGAGGTTCTTGAAAATAAATACTAAAATGTTTTGTATTTTATAAAATTATGAGCGGAATAAAAATTGTATTATTTATCCGTATCCACGAGCTAGCTAGATGCGGCCAGCCATGATTTGGATACGAGCCAAGTTTGCCCACAAAAACTTCGGGCAAAAATTGAGTGGACAAATGAATTCTGATTCAGTTGATCGTCTCTACGAGGGAAATTCATCGATATCGGGCCAATCAACTGAAGCGAATGCCGGACAACAGATGAGTCAAAACCAGACATAAAACAGTAAAATTTTATCTCGCTCAAATAATCAGTGTACATATTTTAATTTGTTTTTCATATATAATTTGGTGTAAGAATTGATTATTTTTTACATATTTGAGAACCCCATCATATGATGCTACAATCATACCTATGCATAGATCTAGCTAGCCATAAAATTCTCCCCTAATTTATTAAGAAATCAAAACAAAGGAGATTGAGTAAACAATCAATATTTTTACAATCTCACTAAATTTCATTCTATAATAATTAAAGCAAGATGATGATAAACCCGTCATTGTTGTTTGTACACAAGAAGGATATATAATAAAGAAAAAAAAAACATAAGGCACACAAATTAAATCATGCACGTGAGATGACACTATAGAGATGTTGATATGTTGTGCCCTTCTTCTTAAAAAAATAAAGTTTGTTAAAAAGGAAAAAGACTTTCTCTCCTCTCTCTCTCTCTCTCTCCTCTCTCTCACTCTCTCTCTCTCTCTCCTCTCTCTTTCTCTCACTCTCTCTCTCTCTCTCTCTCTCTCTAAGAGACAATAAAATGATTGAACCCTTTATAATCCTGCAAGTCAATATTAGTGTTGGGGCACTCAAATCTCTGGTATAAAGACCATAGCAACATAAGAAATATAGAGAGAGAAAGCTAGCTAGCTAGAGAGAGAAAAACCAGCCATGGCCGCCCTTGAAGCTCTTTCCACAAACGAGCTCCTAAACTTCATCATGTGTGATTCGAACATCGCCCCGCCGTTCGACGGCGGGCCCCTCGAGACCGACCTATCTTCCGTGGCCCCGCCGCCGGTCCTCTACCCGCCGGAAACCGCCTGCCCGGCGGCGGCGCAGCCGCCGGCCGGCCGAAAGAAGCGGCGGAGGCGGCCGAAGGTGTGCAAGAACAAGGAGGAGGCCGAGACTCAGAGGATGACGCACATTGCCGTCGAGAGGAACCGCCGGAAGCAGATGAACGAGCACCTCGCCGTACTCCGCTCCCTCATGCCGGAGTCTTATGTCCAGAGGGTATACCACTGTTATTACTTTTTATAATTTATTTTTTTGCAAAATTAAATTGATTTTTTTTTTTATAAATTAAATTAGATTTTACTCTTAAGGTGGAAATTAATTAAATTAATTAATTGATCAAGTTGGTCTAGAATAGTAATAATCCCCCAAAAGTTATCTGAAGGTTTGAGTGATAATTATTATGTGCATATCTTTGGAGATGTTGTTAACCTTGTACAAAAGAGCCTCTCTTTTCATAGATTCGCCTTTTGACAATATTATTGAAAAACTTTTTTCTTTTGTTTGAAATATTTTAATCATTTCTTCTAATAATTACAACTTAAATTCCCTTATAAATTTGACTCAAATTGATAACAAATTATTATAAAAATAAAAAAAGGTTGAAAAAAGTTGATATGTGCTAAGCTCAAGTTGATTCAAAATTTGGGGAGATTCTATGGTCTCGTTACGGAATCATTCTTACAGAGTGTGTAACCGTTAGAGATAGTTGATGTAACGATTACAAATTTCGACAGAATGGTTCCGTAGTAACGTAGCATTTTCCCATAACTTGTTTGAATATTACATTCAAACCTCTCTCCATTTGTTAACATGTTTATTTAACTATTTATTGCATAAAGCCAAGCATGTATTGACAAAAAATTAACATGCTATATTATAAATTCGATTCATATATACACTACTGTATCAAGAAACAATTCATGGCTATATATATTTCATGTACTATAGAGAAGAGAATATAATGACGTAATACTTTCTTTTACTTTCTCGTGTCTTATTGTTGTCTCTGCACAAACCAGAAATTTGATTCTCATATTTATGATCACCCCGCTAAAAGATTGCATGTACCCTACACCAAATCAAATGAACCAAAACAATAATAATAATAATAATAATAATAATAATAATAATAATAATAATAATAATAATTCCATTTTTTCCGATTTTCGAATAATAGTAATTTAATAAATTATCATCAGGGCGACCAGGCGTCGATAGTCGGTGGGGCCATCGAGTTCGTGAAGGAGCTCGAGCACATCCTTCAGTCTCTAGAGGCCAAGAAGTTCGCGTTGTTGGATGGGCCGAAAAACGGGCCCGAGGCGGAAGGAAGGCATGTGTCGGGGAGCCCGTTCGCCCAATTCTTCGCGTACCCGCAGTTCAGGTGCTCCGACAACAACAACAACAACAATAACCAGCTCGGGAGCAAGTTCACATGCCAGACAAAAGCTGCCGTGGCCGATATTGAGGTCACGTTAATCGAGACCCATGCCAACATTCGTATCCTATCGAGGCGTGGGGCCTGCCACCTGTCGAGGCTCGTGGCAGCTTTCCACTCGGTCCTCCTCACGATACTCCACCTCAACGTGACCACGTTGGACTCGCTCGTGCTCTACTCGGTCAGTGCGAAGGTACGTACGTACATACGAACGAACGATTATTACGCGTCTAATTATGTTAGACGGATCGATTTATCTATATGATAGAATCATGAAAAATGGTAATTTTTTTCCTCAAGGCACGTTAATTTGGGTTTTTTTGGCTGGTTTTTGAGTTAGTTTATTTATTTATATATTACTTTTTTGTCTCTATTTTGCATCTCAATGTATGTTGTCTAGATTTGATTTTGCCTTTGGGACCAATATGGTTTAGCGAATGTGAACTGGGACAACCTCAATTATTAACTTTCACTACAAAAAAAAAAAAGAAAAAATTCTCATATTCTAACAAAAAATTCTAAGTTAATATATTTCAATGGAAATTTCAAGAGATGTTCCAATGGTATAGGTCCCGTTGGAACTATCCAAACGGAACGAAAATATTACATTTGAATGAGTGTTTCATTGAAATTTTAGCTGAAATTTGACGATTTCAACGGTTTGTTAGCGTAGGAATTGCAGTTGAAAATTTTGTTTTCACACATATTTCAATCGTTGAAAAACTACTTTTGAAATCGTCAAAATTCAACAGAAATTTTAATTGCAAAACACATTGAAACGGAATATTTTCGTTGAAATTTCCATGGGAAAACCATCGAACAATTCCAACAAAAATAATAGCATTGGAATATTCATATTGGAATAGATTTCTGTTCGAATTTTTTTCATTCAAATTTCATCATCTTAAAAGAAACAATAGTACCTTAAAATATGACAGTTTATAGTATAAGTATGTATTTTTGATAACATAGTATGATGAATCGATCTACCTAATGACTAAACCGTATCGTACAAGAATATTTGTACAATAAAAAAAAAAAGTAAAAATTATTATATATTAATCTTTGTTCTTTTATTTCTTCTGTTGTATGGCTGAGGGGGCATATCTGATGGTAACAAAAATGGGACTGTGGAAAATGACTTCACCATGCAAAAGAATCTACTTTTTTAATTTTTTTTTTATTTCTTTTTTACCCACACCACCACAGACTGCTGCACGTTCTTCTAAATCAAAACTAAGTACTGTGTCAAGATTCTAAAACAGTAATTAGTACTCATTTCACGAGGGTATTTTGGGCATGTTCTGCACAAATAATTTTTCAATTGAGTTTTCCATGTGCATTGATGGCAGGATTTTTTTTTTTTTTTTTTTTTTTTTATAAAAAAAAAAGAGAAATTAGGAATTTTTATGCTTAATACTTTAAATGGGTATTTTTGGGATGTTGGGCACCTAGTGTTTGTCTTGGGTATAAAATTCCTGTGGTGAAAAAAAAATATTCCCAAGTATTTTTGGGAAATGTACTATAATGTATGTATTTTTGGTGTGTTTTTAATACTACCTTAAATTATATGTTTGTTTTGACTTTTTTGATTCATCCATTTTGTTATGTATCTAGACATTAATTAATGTCTAGATACATAACAAAATTAATGTCTAGATACATAACAAAATGGATGAATCAAAAAAGTCAAAACGACATATAATTTAAAATGGAGGGAGTATGTATTAAGGGTAAATTTGTGGGTGCAGGTGGAAGAAGGGTGCCAGCTAAATTCAGCTGATGACATTGCAGGAGCAGTTCACCACATGCTTAGAATAATGGAGGAAGAGGATTTAGGGTTACATGTTTAGCATGTATTATTAGTCAAAATTGAGCTTTTTAATTTTTTTTTTTTGTATGTTTAATGATGTTTAATTTATGTCCTTTTTTTTTTCAGTTACTTTAGTACTTTCACCCTTTCTTGTACTTAATAATTATTATTATCTAGTTCGAATAATGATCGTGCGAGGGAACAATTTTTCTATGGAGTCATCGGATGGTTCGGCTCATGGAGTCATCTACAGTTATTTATAAATAGTGTATTGACACGGTGATTAGGCATCGTCTAGGTGGACTAGGCAGCTAGGCGGACTTGGTGACACTTACGTATGCCATATCTAAGTGTCCGTATTTTTTTTTTAATTTATTAATTTATATTTTGAAAATTAATAAAATGATTTTATTTTTTATAGAAGAAATTTAATTTATTATAAAATCAAAAGTATTAATTATGATATTAAAAAAATAATAATAATTTTGCAGTCATTACATTTACATAATCTTTGCGTTTGAATTGAAACATATTAATTAATACATTACAATTCATATGATATATATATATTGTGTACTTTATGCACGACTATAAATACAAATAAATTTGTAAAATAATTTTACGACCATACCTAGCTGCTGAGCTCTAGCGTCTCGCCATTTGATGAACGCCTAACGATTTTTAGAACACTGATATTAATTTGAAATAGGGTAAAAAATTGTAGAGTTCGTAATTATATCACAATAAGTGATTGCATATATTATTCATTAATCATGCATGTATAATGGTCCAATCCTATGGCAATGAGGCTTTAGAATGTTACAAACTTGCTAGACTTTAGCCTCAATATTAATAGACCTGCTGACAGACACAAAACTAGAAGTGATTCTTTACACCCCCAAGCACATCTTTGCTTTACTTTAGAGGCCATAATTCTTAGCCTGGTGGCAATAGTACCAAGTACTGAGCCACAACATCATTGTTGGCTGGACCAATTTAAAATTTTGTGGGACTTCAAATCATGTCTTGTTTCAACACTAGTGCATTTTACTAAAATTTCATAAGTTGTACAATTTCATAAGATGAGAAATTGTCGTCGAGTCCGCATAGGAACGCCTAGGCGCCGCTCAACCCCTAGTCGCCGAGCCCGCCTGGCCAATTTTTTTCAGTCGATTCATGTAAATCGAAAGCGGCCAAGCAACCTCCTAAGCTGATTTTTAGTACAGTGGTCAATATACAAAGATTAGATACATTGACTATAAAAATATTTTGAAATTATAAAATCTTCTATACAATATTCCAAATACAATGGTTGAATTCAACTGCAATTTCAATGGATATTCCTATGTTATTATTTCAATCGGAAAATCTCAGAATTTTTCAACGGAAATTATAACAAAAATATGCCGTCGGAATGAGCTTTCCTTCATTATTCCCGTTGAATTTTGACGATTCCAACGATAGATTTTCCAATGGTTGAAATATGGGTGAATTATTGAAATATGGTTGAAAATTAGAAATTCAATGGAAAATTGCATATTTCAACAGAAATTCCTGCGGTAGTAAATCCTTGAAAAAATGGTCATTGAAATCATTAAATTCTATCTCAAATTTCAACGAAATACTCATTATAGGGAAGCTATATCATTCGAATATCCGTTGAAATTTTCATTAGAATATATTACCGTTGGATTTATCTTTAAAATATGACAATTTCTCTTGTGATTTGAAATATATAAATAGCCATGACTTCTATAA